GTTGCCGTCGCCGCCCAACAGGACTGGAGCGCTACGATGGGAAATGAAGAGCAATGGGCCGCTCCCACAGCTGCCCCCACCGCTGTTGACGACTGGGGCGCTCAGACCACCGATTGGGCCACATAGACGTGTCCGCACACTCTCCCAGACTTACTATAATTGTGTTATTGTAGTAATGATTGAAACGAAAATAAAATGAATTTTTCTAATGAAATACTTGTTTTGATTTCAATTTAATTTTGTTTAATATTTATAATTTTAAATGTGTTCTCAAATGTGTGCTAAGAAGTTGTCTTAAATGGTGTAAACATTTTGGTTTACAGTATTGTATACCAAAATGGGTAATCAAGTTGTTAAATTAACAGTGTTAATGATAAAAGTTTGCAGTAGTAACCTAGGTCACCTTACATTATGGTCAATACGTTGACAATCCGTTGCAATCGATAGCTTTCTAGAAAGTTGTGGAAAATTCACTCATTATTAATAGACATAATTAATAGTAATCTAGTATTTAATTATAATTTTCATTCAGTGTTTAAATGGTTAGCAAATGAAAGTTACAGCAGTTGTCCACAAATGTGTGCAAAACATGATATGACTGTAAAGTGGGCTCAACAGTGAAACACATGATGTAATGCCTATGTATTGGATGTAAACACACTTTGACTACACATTCAATGAGACATTGATTACGATTGAAAATGGGTTTACAATTCATAGCAATCGTCCGCTTAAAGCAATACTTCCACTCATTTATCACTATTTTATGCATTTTTCTCAAAATCTAAACGTTTGGCAAATTTAACGATCCTTTCGCTCACTTCGTTAGGCCATAAGTGGTGCCAATAACTGAAGAGGAATGAGTCCAACAAGAGATCAACAGAAGGCTAATGCCCTAAATATCGCCCAATTATTCTTCAATCATAACCATAGGCTCAACCATAACAACAATCAGTTATCAATTGTCAACAATAATGTCTTCGATGTGATGCCAGTCTTGCAGCCAATCCTCGACTTCGATGACTCCGATGAATATATGGACGAAATGGATGGCAATATCATCTCCAGTGGCATCCAATCGGCGACAGACGACCAAATCGATGGCCGAAGGCGTCCGAAGACAAATGGGAAGACAGACAAGAGGTCCCGATATATGGGAGCTCTGGTTCGAGAACAGGGCCCGACATTCCTCTTCATCGAGTCCTTTGTGTGGATTCTTTGCGGTTATCACGCGAACGATGACCACAATCGGCGACACCTTTACTACACGATATGCCGCCGATTACAGGACATGAAACTGATTGGCGACACCTTTAAGTTGGACGCTCTCCATAAGATCCGGCAGTTTGTTTCCCAGGGATTCAATCAAATGGTCCGACAGATCAAAACGGGCAACAGTTTGACGAGTCCTC